GGTCTATTGGGCTCATACTTTTCTATTCTATTTTGTTTAACACAGTTTGGTGCAAGATTGAATTTTAGAAGTCAAATCATATTTTATCTATTGGGAAAATTTTTTTAAAGGAAAGATTACTTTTCTTTTTTATTGATACCTTTTGTTCTTTCATTACATTCTGAATATACCTCTCTCTCATCCCCTACCCAGCAAACCTTCCCTTGTAACAAGATACATATATAACATTCTACACTTGTTGTCTCCCATCTTGCCAATAAAGAGAGTTATGTAGAAAGTCTTTTTTTGTAAAAAAATAATACCATCCTCTAGTTTCTTTTTGGTAAATATTTTTTTTTCTTAAAACAAGCTTGCTGAAAACAAATATATCTATTCAAACCCAGAACATGTATTCTGTTCATCAGTTAATTTCTATCTAGCTCAGAGACTAAGTATAGCAAGTCTCCAGTTTATTTGCCCAAGCCCAGATAGGTGTTGTCCTAACTGCCATCCGGGGGCCAACTCTCCCTCTCTCCCCACTGTTGTTACATGGTACTGCCCTTCTCTTCCTCTTTCCCTTTGTAGACTTCACTATGTGGTTATCTCTTTACCCTCCACCCTTCTCCTTACTATCTTCCTTCTTCCCCTTGCCAGTTCAATTCAGAGCAAGGTCTAGATAGCCAGGGGAAGGTGAAGTCGATGAGCATTTATTAATTTACTTAAATTACTAAATTACTTAAATTACTAAATTAATTAATTTACTCTGTGCCAGGCACTGTGCTAAGTGCTGGGAATAAAAATACAAGTAAGAAGACAGTTCCTGCCCTCGAGAAGCTTACATTCATATGGGGAAGACAGCAAAGGGTGAGGGGCAAAAGGGTCATGGAAGACAAATCTGGAAAGTCAGGAGTAGAGCCCACAGAGGAGTGAAGGAGTAAGTGTGGTTGGCCTTGGCACTTTCTCAGAATGGAAAAGAAAGGATAACTTTTACTCCTCTTTCACACTTTTTCTGCTTCTGCCCCTCCCTCTAAATCTCCTAAGCTCCTTTGACAAAGTGCTTATTGTAGGCACCAAAGCTGGGCTTTGCTTTGAGATATAACTGAATTGTAACTTTACTATGTTATGTCCCCAAAGATCCATCATTATTACCTATGTGTTCTTTACTTGAGAAAAGAAAAGTTGGGTTTGGTGTATTGGTGCAATTTCATTGTTACTGTTTTTTTTTTTTTTGGTTGTTGTTCAGTCATTTTAGTCATGCCTAACTTTTTGTGACCCCATTTGGGATTTTCTTGGCAAAGATACTGGAATACTTTGCCATTTCCTTCTCCAGCTCATTTTACAGATGAGAAAAATGAGGCCAACAGGGTTAAGTGACTTGACCAGGGTCACACAGCTAGTAAGTGTCTGAGGCCAGATTTGAACTCAGGTCTTCCTGACTCCAGGCTTAGCCCCACTGTGCCACCTAGCTGCCTCATTTGTTATTGTTAGTAGGTAGTAAAACCCTCTAAAAAATAAAAACTCTTGGAATCAAATTATGTGCTTGATTTAAGAACAGGATGATATGTTCTTTTTGCTGTAGGCCCCAGAAGGAGAGAACCATTAGTTGGAAATAAGAGATGGAGCAATCCCTGGGAGCCCAAGGAATCTAAAAAAAGGGGTGAGGGAGGGATGAACTCAGATCTCAAGGCAGAGTAGTGATACAGTGGAAAAGATGTTATGTTTAGTGTCAGAGGTACTGGGTTCAAATCTCAGATCCTTACCTACTACTTCTGACCTTGGACGTGTGATTTAACTTTACCTCTCTATGTCTCAGTTTTCTCAGCTGCAAAATGGATTCTGGATAGTGGATTAGGTGATTTCTAAGGTCTCTTACACTTTTAGATCTATGATTTATGACCTTTGTGGTCCCTAGCAATTTACACTGGTAGGAGGACTTAACTCCCACTTTCTAATAATACCTTACCCTTTAACCATCTGGAATATCCTTTCTCCTACTTGTCCCCCCACCCCCCTCACTTCCATAATCCCTCTTCCTTCCTCTCCCCCCAAGCAATCACCTTCCCTGCCTCTGGGAGGCATTACCAGTAGCCTGGAGCTTTCTCATTGCCTAATGGAGTCAGGGAGGGAATACCTAATCCCACTCAAGAGGTGGTGAGGATATGTAGTCCTGGCATCCCAAGATGAAATTCTTAATGCATTTTCCTATTGAAATATTACTATGTATTATGGTTGGATTGTAGGATAATATTAGTATTGGTTTGGTTTATAGGGGAGACATGCCTTTCAGGTTGCAAACAACTTAAAAATGAAATTCTGAAGGCAACCAGTCATAACATGGGACCATGTATTCTATGTGAGGTCTATAAAATTTCCTTCTTTGAAGAAATTTAGAGTAGACTGTTTAATTATTTAATTAATAATTACTTCTTTCATTCAACAGCTGCTTATTCCATATCTCCTATGTGTAGTATACTGATAAACTTTTGTTCATGGAAAGTTAAATACAGTCATGTGTGGAGGGCGGAGGCTAGATAAGTTAGCTTTTCCAAGTCCCCTGGTTTCTGCCGAAGAAACAGCTATTTTAATACTATTCATTAATATATAAAGTCAGTTCTGTTTCAAGTTGTGTTAGGACCCAAAGTTCAGTGGAAACAGAGCTCATGTTATGTAGAGAAAACTGAGCCTTAGGGTTGTGAAAGAAGATGAATATTTTATAGACACCAAACTTTTTGTCTAGTCAGAAACAGAGGGATATTTGTTCTTTTGTTTTTCCAAGTAAGATGAAATTGTAAATGAAAACTCCACAGTGGACTCTGTAAATTGAAAAGAATTGAGCAGAGGAACATAAAAAGAAACAATATTAGACACAAAGACTGGCTGTGTTGCTTGTGTGGAAAATGGTGTGACTAACTTATCTTTGGAGGAAGGTAAGTTGAGTAACAACGACCAGCAGCTTCATAGGTGGAATTGTAGGATTGGCATTGGGAAGGAATAGTGCTTTTCACTCCATTGATAACGTGGGTAAATCCAAGACCCATAAACAATTCAGACAAATGTGATAGAAGTACAGCTAACTCTCACTGACCTTTCTAACGGCTTCGTCTTCGTCTTCTTCTTCTTCTTCTTCTTCTTCTTCTTCTTCTTCTTCTTCTTCTTCTTCTTCTTCTCTTCTTCTTCTTCTTCTTCTTCTTCTTCTTCTTCTTCTCCTTCTCCTTCTTCTTCTCCTCCTCCTCCTCCTTCTCCTCCTCCTCCTCCTCCTCCTCCTCCTCCTCCTCCTCCTCCTCCTCCTTCTTCTTCCTAGGCAGTGGGGTTAAGTGACTTGCCCAGGGTCACACAGCTAGTAAGTGTTACGTATCTGAGGCTACGTTTGAACTCAGGTCCTCCTGACTCCAGGGCCACTACTCTATCCATTGCGCCATCTAGCTGCCCCCTCTAACTACTTCTAAGGGCAGTGGGGCCATGGGTGATGCTGTGGGGCAACTTGTGCCTTGAAATTTCTGGCTTTTAATCCTTTTGCTCATTTAGCTGTGCCTTGGAATGCAGAAAACTCTCCCTTTCTCTTCTTGGCTTGCAGTATTATCTTTCTTAATAAAATAGGACGTAAACAAAGTGACCCATACTGAGAGTGTTTGCTTAGGAAATGTCCTGCTACTTCCTACTTCTGAAAGCATTTATATTTCAAATGTAGTGTGAGTAGGAGATAGGTTAACACATTTTCATCTGCTCCTGTCAGATTAACATTTCTGTAATGCTTCCTAGGATGTTGTGGCCAGTGACCCCACTGTGATGTTTTGGGTAATCCTGGCATAAGAATCCATATCAGGGGTGGGGAGCCTGTGACCTCAAGGCCACATGTGGCCTTCTAGGTCCTTGGGTGTGGCCTTTTCACTCAGTCCAAGTTTTACAGAACAAATTCTTTTATTAAAGGGTATTTGTTTTGTGAAATTTGGATTTAGTCAAAGGGCTGCACTTGAGGACCTAGAGGGCCATATGTGGCCTTGAGCCTGCAGGTTCCCCACCCCTGGTCTATATAATCCCCTTTTAGGTGCTTCATTAGTTTTAAGAGATGTGGTCACATAATAGCAGATTTGTTCGTATTTGACCATGTTACCATCTGGTAAAGGCTGCTACAATTTCCAAGCCAAATCTGCTGCTTTGGGATGGCATGCTTTTTGCGTGGACTCTAAGACTTATACCATACCTCAGGAACTGAGACATGTTCTTCAGAAGCTCAAGTTGAAATGGACTTCCTTTAAAATGACAGCAGTAATCACTAGAGACTTTTGGTGTTGAAATACATGACCCCAGAGACTCAAATCTTGAAAAATGAGGTATTAAGCCAGATTTTCCTGTTGTCTGGCCATGCCCTGGTTATATTAAGTTTGGATTTGTTAGCAAAATGATTAACTCTTTCAGTCACAATGGGACCATTCACTAAATTGACAGTTGAGTGGACTTAAAGCATGTTGTTGTTAATGGTAGCTGATAAAACAGGATTGTGTGATCAAGAGAGCTTTTACTACGGAAAGGAGAGGGGATAGCATTCACTAAGATGAATGAGATGTATGCTTGTTCTCAGTGAGTACTTTTTTTCCAGTCCTTTTTTCTATTTGAAGGACTAAAGTGTAAGTGGGTCATAATTTCATCTCGTCTTGCAGACAGCTCTGAAGATGCTACATCCATTTGTTGTATATAAGTTCAGCTGAATGAATGGAGCTGCCAGGGCCTGTTGGGAGCTTTCCTAATTAACTCTTGGCTAGCTGGACACCCTCATCTTTTGTTCACTGTTCTTAGGAGACTTTGAAAAGGCAAAGTACTTACTATCAGCTTTAGGAGTTCAACAGAGCTGCTTAACCACAAACTGTTAAGCTTTTCCCAATCCAAAAGTCCCTCCATCCCAAATGGTTAATTCTTATGATTAGGGCTTAATGTATCTTAAATGACTGTTCAGAAAATTGGTACAAACCTAGTACAACAAGTAAATGAAAAACATGCAATTTTTTCCCCTTCTTGTATTGCAGGTACCTTTTATATTTGCAAATTAAAAGAGATATTTTCCATGGTCGTCTGCTGTGCTCCTTTACAGATGCTGCCTACCTGGGGGCCTGTATTGTTCAAGGTAAGTGTATGACCTGTAATATGGTAAAAAGGAACTCATGCTCCCTTGCCTGACCCTCCCTCCCCACCACATTTGTTGTCAATTAAGAAAAGAGCAGAAGGACTGGAGGGTTTTTTCCAGGATTCATTCAGTTGTCCCCATATCCCTCTTTAGTTATGCATGAGAACTCTGAACTGGAGCAGAATCAATGACAAGTTCATAATTGTACTGGAAAACCTAAAGGCTTTGTTCCCTTTGAGAACAGGGGGAGCTCCCAGCTGAATGTTCTTCTCCAATTGCTTCTTCTTCTTTAAATTTAAATTTATTAATTTTAAAATTGAATTAAATTAATTTTATTTTAATTCATTATTTTATTTTAAATTCAATTTTAAAAATTTAATAAAACAAGCATTTTCATAACATAGTACAATAAAAAAGATGATTGCACATGAAACTGCAAATTCACTAGGTACAATGTGCTATTCCTTTTAAATATACAACAAAGCTGTCATGTAAATTTCCTTTCCTCCATTTTTTCCTTTTGTTACCCTGCCCTCCACCCCCCCCACCTCAGAGATGGCTACCACTAGACACAAATAGGTATATATATATTATATATAATAAATATGTAAAATTATTCTATACATACTTCTATTTATCAGTTCTTTCTCTAGATATAGATGGCATCTTTCTTCATATATCCTTTATGGTTACTTTGCGTATCTATCATAGTCAGGATGATTTATTCACTCAAAGTCGTTCTTAAAACATTATTGCTATTACTGTATACCATATTCTCTTGGTTCTGTTCATTTTGCTCTTCGTTATTTTGTGCAAGTCTTTCCATGTTTTTCTAAGATCATTGACTTCATCATTTCTTATAGCACAATAATATTGCATCACAGTCACATACTATAGCTTGTTCAGCCATTCCTCAAATTGATGGGCATCCCTGCAGTTTCCATTTCTTTGCCACCTCAAAGAGAGCTGCTCTAAACACTTAGAGTATATAGGTTCTCTTCCTTTTTCCCTAATCATCTTTGGAAACAGACCTAGTAACGGTATTGTTGGATCAAAGAGTATAAGCAGTTTAATAATTCTTTGGGCATAATTCCAGATTGCTCTCCAAAATGGTTGGATCAGTTCACAATTCTACCAACAACAAATTAGTATCCCAATTTTTACACATCCAGTTACTTTTAAGAAGACAAGGAAGGCCCTGAACGGTATACTGAATCTAAGGATTCAGTAGTGTCTACTAGTGCTTTGGCACCTCCTAGGTAGAAGTAGCATATGGTTTGCAACCTCAAACCTCTGCCTGGGACCTGCTTATGTTGAATTAGTGGAGAGGACATGTTCAGTATCTACTAGTGTTGCTATGGCCTTTGTGACTGGCAACCTGATGTTGTCAACACTGACAAATGGGGTGTTCAGCCAAATTTTTCCTGGTTCAGGGTAGTTAGTGTAGTTTAACAGCCAATCAGAATGGTTGCTAGCTGATTTAGTCCTGATTGACAATTCTGCCTGCCAGTTAAATTGGTGGAAGGAGGGAGAAGGGTGTATTTTCTTCATCTTGTGTTTTTATTGTTTCTTTAAGAATTTCTGGGTCTTAGTTAAGACCAAATTCCTGAGTGTGACATTGAGGCACGACCATTGAATACCCATCTAGACCATGGTACCTACCTACTAGACCAGTGCTATTCTTTAAAAATAAGTCCATTCAAAATAAAATGAGTTCTGGCTATGAGGCAGAGAAAGACTTTCTCTTTGGGTGAGGTGACTAAATAGCCACCCACTGTGATCAAATTTCTCCACTACCTCACAAACTGGAGTTAGAATGTCTCCCCCTTTCATTTGGGCAGAACTTTGATGTGACAAGTTAGTCAGTCAAACATTTGGTGAGCCCTTACTTTTAACTATGCTCTGAGTTGAGTAGATGGATACCTACTCTGTGGCTTTGTCAGAGGAGTTCACCAGGGGAGGTCCAAGGGTGGGGGCTTATACAAAGAGAACGCCTTAGTGAAGCATTTTTGCTTGATCAACAAAAGAGTCATACTTAGTTCATTGATTTTTCTGCTTAGGAATGAGCCAGCAGCTGGGTATCTAGAGAGAATGACACCATACTCATCCCAGTGTTTCCCTCTGGATATTTTTTTGTAATGAAGGAGGAGGTTTGAGAGAAGCCAGTCTCTGGGGGTTAGTGGTGATCTATTGCTGTGGTGATGTTTCCTGTGGCTAAGCTAAGGGACCAAGTTATGCTGCTTCTTTCCCTGGAGTCCAATTGAAAAGACAGCTGCAGGGTCAGTCTGGGAGGGCACAGGTGATCCAGTCTCATGGAACATGAATCTTAATGATATATTTATGAGCTGAGGGAAAGAGAGTGTGTGTGTGTGTGTGTGTGTGTGTGTGTGTGTGTGTGTGTGTGTACCCAGGAACTCTAAAATAGGAAAATGATTAGCTTAACTAATTTTGTGTCAGTCAAGGTCCAATCTGCATGTAGTGCCTTGTACTTGTATTGGCTCCACTAAGGAAGATGCGATAGTCATTGCCCTACTCAGAGAACAGCTTAGATATTCTTTTCCAGTATATCACTACCACAATCACCTACCCCATTTTTTTGAAGGGAAATCTCAGCCATGTAAAAGAGTAGTTTTGACCTGATTCTCAGGTGCTGTATAGCTCTGAAAGGAATCCTGAGGGATTTTCTCCCCCTTCTTTCCTCCCCTAGCAGTAACCAAAGAGTCAGAATCAGATTTTGGCTGAGGTTTCAGCACTGATGAAGATACCCTGGTTTAAGGCACTAGTAAAAAGTGCAGTGTTAAAGTGAGGGGGATGCATTTTCATTGTGAGAAATAAGAGGTCTGCTTCTGATGGAATGCTAATAAAACTGCCCTTGAATTGAGGCACTTGGCAACACAAATCTTATGGAGATGGTACAACCTATGGAGATGCTTCACTGAAGATGCTTCATTCAAGCTGTTTGAATTCTCCAGAGACTGAGATATGCCATGCTTTGCAGATACATTGTGTTACAGAGAGCATATTGTTTAAATATATTTATAAGTTTAAAATAATATGGGCCTTTGTTTCAGGGAGAAGTTTGGGAGCATTAACTGCAATGAATAATTTCCCCAAGGCCATCTGGGATAGTGTAGAGTAGTGTTTAGGGCACTGGACTTGGAGTCATAAAGACCTGGGTTCCTATCCTGCTTTAGACACTTACTAGCTGTGTGACTCTGTGCAAGTTACTTAACCTCTCTGTGCCTCAGTTTCCTCATCTGTAAAATTGAGGGGTTGGCCTCTTGTTTCTAAGGTCCTAGAAGGGACCTATTATATGATCCTTATCTTTTTCAATTCTTAGCCCAGTTCATGGTCCAATTTGACTCAACAAACACTTAGGAAGTAACTACTATGGGCAAAGTATTTTGGTAGGCATTGGTGATACAAAAAAAAAAGGAAAATAATCCATTTGTAGTCACAGTCAAGATCCATATACTGTTAGACCAATTCAATGGGCTGCCCACTCTATTGCATGTCATTTTCTGGACCATAGGCAGCTGTCAGTCTCTGAATGTTGCAGGTCACCCCAAGGGCAGCTCACTATTGGTGATGGATTGCCACTTACTATCAATGGAGGAGTGGGGTCAAAGATATCATCAAAGACATAACAGAACAGAAAAAGAAGGTGGCCCTGCCCTGTTGTGAGAACAATGAATTGCATTAATAATGGAGACAGTTGTCTTCTCCTTTAGCATCCATAATATGCGTGGAAATCTAGACAAATATCTTTGTCAACAGTCAGTGATCTTTGTGTATTGTCTTCCCCCATTAGACTGTAAGCTTCTTGAGGGCATCAAAGACTTTTTCATATTTGTATTCCCAGCACAATGCCTGGTACATAGTAGATGCTTAATAAATGTTTATTGGCTATTGACAAGGTATCAAAACTTTAATAGCCTAAAACTGCACTAATTTTTTTGGGACAGCCTGTATCATGCCAAATTGGAGACATATTAAAAATGAATAAACAAATCCCTCTATTTTCTTGTCATCCACATATTAATAATTCTAGTCAAGGTTTAACTGTGTCAGGGAAGATAAAAACAGACAACTGAGAATCCAAATTCCAAACCAACCAATGAAGTTTTATAATGTATTTAGTTATTTGGGAATTGCTACCAGTACACCAAGGACAAGCTCAAATTAGGCCTTCTAGAAGGAAACTATTTATTTTTATATTTGAAAGATTACATACTTCTACAAGAAATGTATCCTTTTTTTTCTTGCTAATTTTATTGAACATTAGCCCTTCTATTAGCTTCTATATGGAAAAAAGATTTAAGAATGGACTTGGTGATTGCTAAGGTTTCTTTCAATTTTAAAATTCTGTGATTCTGTTGTTCCCTTTTTCTCAGGTAAGGAGGCCTTGTGGCATAGTAGACAAGAGCACTGGTTCTTGAGTCAGAGGACCTGGGTTCCCGTTTTACCTCTAATATTTACTTCCCAGATGATATTTGTCAGATCACTTTCCTTCCATGGATATCAGTTTTCTCAGCTGTAAAATGAAGGGGCATGATAGTCTCGGAGACCCTTCCAACTCTAGATTCATGATCTTAAGAAGACAAACAGTTGTTTTAGTAAAATCACATTTTGTTCAGTTGATCCTTCTTCGGCTTTTGGGATCATTTGCAAATGCAAATAACAATCTTTCTTGTTAGCACAGTATACTATCCAGAAGGCAGCCTGTGTGCTTTAAAAGTATGAGAAAATATCACTGTATTTGCTTTTTCTTTTCTCTTTCTTTCTTTCTTTTTCTTTTTTCTTTTTCTTTCTTTCTTTCTTTTTCTTTCTTTCTTTCTTTCTTTCTTTCTTTCTTTCTTTCTTTCTTT